CCTTCTGTCTGCTGCCTTTTTTGCATAATCTTCCCACTGGTACAGTTTATAGACTGTATGCTGTAGACAGGTTGTCTTATGTTTGCTGTTTTAAACATCACAGGAGAAAGTACATTGCACTGAGGGGAAAAAAAGAAAAGGGTAAAAGATTCCGTAGACAGCACTTAAATGAACCAGTATTGGCAGAGGAATTCAGAAAGCCTCCCACGTCTGAAATCCTCCTGCCCTGCCGTGGGGTGCCAGGGCGAGCCCAGACAGCACCCGTGCTTGCAGCGCTTGCGGCTCTCCTCGAGGAGCTCGGGCAGCTCCGGCCACTCGCCGTGGCAAGGTGGGCAGAGGGGAGCAGAGACCTGCCCCCCGCCAGTTACGGTGGCCCGGTCCCCAACGCTGGAGCCAGAAGCACCCCTCTGCCTGCAGGCAGCTGCCTGTTGTCCATGGGCGTCCCTCGCAGCGTCGGGGACAGCGGGGGCGATTAACGGAGAACCCCCTGATCCTGCTCAGGACCTTCTGCCACCCCAGGCACCATGAGCAGCTGCGCTGAGGGCACTTTGCAAGGGCTGGGGACACCCAGCAGCCCCCCAGCTCCACAAATCTGCTTTCCTGTGGCACAGGGGTAGAGCCTGAGCGTGGGTGAAGCACATGGTATGTCTGTAACAGCTTCTCGCCCTAAATTTTTGAGACTAAGGTACATAGCTGTTACTCTCCCCAGTTGCAAAACAGAGAACGGAGGCAGAACACAAAACATTTCTGTCCAGAATCACGCTGCGTGCAAGCAATGGCACAGCTGTCACGTCAGCTACCTCCCAGCAGCATGGCATCGACGCTGATCCAGACACCAAAGACCCTCTCACTGCCCTTTCTCTTCAGCAAGGAACAAACTGTTTTGCTCAGAGCTGACTGCCCTTACATTTGGAATAGCCAGATTTCAGTCATTCAGAAAATAATAAATTACCATGTTTAATCTAATTTCCACCAGAAAAAGCAAAGATTTCCAATGCTGTTTTAATAATTACATTCCACATCACCAGTACAAAACTATAGTGAAATCTAATGTAAGCTTACTGAATCACAGCTAGCAGTCCTGTCAAGTTCAGGAGGAGAAAGGAACATCGAATATCTCTCTTAAATCTGTTCAAATATGCTTAAGAACTAGGATATCCAAAGTGCACAAAATGTAAGTAATTCAAAACAATGCCATTTCTGTGGCTCTTCTCCTTTTCCAGCTTGAGCTCAGAACACTTTGAAGGAAAACACAGCCTCCCACACTATTCTTTCCAATATAATTGTCTAATTTTTTCCCTTTAAGAATGTGCCAAAGAAAGCTTAGTCAAAAAGAGCCAAGAAAATGTTTCTTGAAATAACAAAACACATCAGAAAAAGTTTTCTATACAGAAAAGAAATTCCCAAATATAACAAAAATATAGTATCTTTGAATTGCCCATTTGTCAAAGTAGCAGCATATTTCATAAAGCACCTTTTGTACTCTTGGTTTCATTGTGATGACTAGTATTCCTCTTTTATTAATATTTTTCAGTATCAGCTACAAGATGTGAAGAGCTGTACATTGTTAATGGAAAACAATGCACATCTGGCCGAGCTCACATGATAAAGACAAATGGCTAGGGTTTGGGGTTGGCAGCATTTTGTACCTCTAAGTAGCCACAGTGACGTGTATGAAGGCATGCATTCAGCAGTACTTAATTAACATGTAGTTTTGTCAAAATAAGAGCTTTCCTTCTTTTATAAAACAAAAGCAAGGAGTATCACTTCTGCTTTATTCTAAACATGGTCTGTCTTCACCATTTCTCACCATGACAAGTGCTCTGGTTTCTGTTTCATCCTTTCCTCCTTCTGCATCTCTCACTGTTGCCTATGTAGACTTCTGGAAAATTTTCTCTGCTTGTTTTGCAAAACCAGGACTATCCTATTCCAGTGCATTAACAGCCTGCAAAGCAAAATAAAATCTTCTCCAGGGTAAGTGGGTTATTCAGTGGCCTCACAGGTATCACAGATTTGTAATTTATGCTGTTAAGACCATTGACAAGGGAAGTGTGGGACTGAAACACATACCAAGGTCCATTCAGAAAATTTTTCCAGTAGCATTAGTCTGTGCAGAGCCATTCACAGCATCAGTTAAGTTTTCCAAGATACATTCACTACAAGGTATTGCTGCAAAGCTTATTCTAGATTTAACACAAAACTTATTCTGCAGCGGGTTCTGGATCTGAATGGATTCACCTGCATCGTCGTCAGCATGCAGAATCACAAACTTACAGAAAACAGCCTCAGTAGTTTCATTACTGCTGCAAACTCCTGAAGCCCTGCTTGTGGGGTCTCTGATTTCAGCAGAGAGGCCACACAGTTTGTTAATTGGCTTGGAGTCTCTTAGACCTGTGCTCAAGCTGTTAGCCTTTTGCTGCTCGCTGCTGAGGGTGGTTTGTCTGGAGTTATTACTGCCCGTTACAACAAACGCACATCCAAAAATGATTTGTTGGTGTGACTAATGTCTGTTTTGTCCATTCTTTAAAAAAAGAAGAAAGTCAGTGAAAGAAAGAAGCACAAGAGCTACTGAGTGTTAGGACAATATAAAAAAACAATTTCTTCCCTTTTTTAAATAACTAACTTGTTTGACTGGAGGAAGCTATTACTCATAATAGTGAAAGAAGGCAGAAATGCTAAGAGAAAAGTTGATATGTGACTTCAGTAGTTCCCAGGCCTTTTTGCTGATGAATCACAGAATGGTAGGGGATGGGAGGGACCTCTGAAGATCATCTGGTCCAACCCCCCTGCCAAGGCAGGATCACCTAAGGCAGGTTGCACAGGAACGTGTCCAGTCGGGTTTTGAAGGTCTCCAGAGAAGGAGACTCCACAGCCTCTCTGGGCAGCCTGTTCCAGTGCTCCGTCACCCTCACAGTAAAGAAGTTTTTCCTCGTGTTGAGGTGGAACTTCCTGTGCTGCAGTTTGTGCCCATTGCCCCTTGTCCTATCTCTGGGCACTGCTGAAAAGAGACTGGCTCCATCCTCCTGACAGCCACCCTTCAGAGATTTACAGACATTGGTAAGGTCCCCTCTCAGCCTTCTCTTCTCCAGAATAAACAGCCCCAGGTCTCTCAGCCTTTCCTCATACGAGAGATGTTCCAGTCCCTTATCATCCTCATAGCCCTCCGCTGGACTCCCTCCAAAAGTTCCCTGTCTCATGAACTTGATGCTGAGCACTCGCCAGGCACTTCCCATGGAGACACATCAGCCACCACCAATGGAGAAGTGCATCCAGGGGTGTCCAGTTCTCGTTGTGGTTCCTATGCTGCAAAGGGAGGTGCTTTGCTGAAGAGGTTGGCATAGGGATGGCAGGGTGGAAGCTCATCCATCCCTGTGATCTGCACTGTCACCCAAGCCAAAACCAGGAAAGGTCACACACAGGGGCTGCCTGGTTGCCAGCAGCACTACGAAGATGATACAAGGCACAGTACCTGTGGAAAACTGGTTGGCCAGCCTTTTGCTGTCTCATTTCTCTTTATTTCCTTAATCATCATTTGCACAGCTTGAGCTGAACTTATAGGAGCATCCTCCCTTGGTGCAAAGAAGTTGGAGGAGCTGGGGTTTTCAATTCTGCTAATGCAGCCTGCAGACCTGAGCAAAGACCCCAGGGGAGAGGAGGGGCAGGGGAGGTCCTGCTGCTTCCAGCAGCTGCCAGACCGATTTAGCTGTAGGGTGAAAGTGCAGCCAAGGCTCATACCCTCCAGGGAATATAGGCAACTGAATTGGCCTTTAAATTAATCTGGGCTCCAGTGCCCTTGCCCGGGTTACAGAGGACACCTGGGGCAGGATCAGGCTCAGATGGTGAGAGCAGCGGTACCTGCACAGAGAGCAGTGTCTGCCGGGTATAACCTCACCACTCCCCTTCCTTGTGCTTCCCCTCCTCTCTTTTAATTTCCTTCCCCCTAATGCAGCCTCCTGGCTGAGGAGAAATGGGCAGGATCACCGGTATGACCACAGGTGTTTCCCCTGCAAAGCAATCCGGGTCTGACACTGGCTGAACACCTTCCCTGTGGGCTTGGTGCTCTCTCAGCTCCTCCTGCCCTGAGAAGTGCATCTCAGCCTGACCCAGAGCTTTTCCTTTTTTTATACACAAGGTTAAGTCAGCATTAGGCAGTTCAAGTCTAAGTATAGCATGGGCAGCAGGAGTCACCCACCGCTTTGTGCTTTCCCACCATTACAGCCCTCTCCGGCTCCGCACAAGTGTGCTTGGGGATGGTTTCTTCCTCTTCTGCCCTTAAATGCTAGTTTCATCTTACCAGTAGAGCTCCAGGCGCTGCCCAGTGACCGGGCGCAGAGCAGGCATCCGTGTTCGACGTGGGAAGAGCAGGGCCCCAGGGAGCAACAGCACGTCTGTCCCGCAGTAAGGCAAAGCCCAGCGCGGACCCTCTCTCTCTCTACCTCTCTTTTCCATAAGGCCATGACATTTTCCTCACTAAGCAAAAGCCCGCTGCCAATGTTGTGTTTTAACGTTGTAATCTCAAAAATACGGCCAAGAGAACCAACTGCCTCCAGAGGTAGGGGCCAAGACACTGCAGCTCTTTTTAAGGTAAAAATAATTACCCAAATTAAACCCAAGAAGGTTACTTTTGTTTCGAAGTATATTCAGCCTGGATGAAGACAATAAATACAGGAATAAACATGTCTTTAAGGATATGTGGTGGTCTGAACACACAGTCTCACACATGAAGGAGGTGGTTCTGGATCTTACAGGAATGGTGGATTTGAGAGAAAATGTTGCCCCTTAAAGAGTCGAGCAGTCTGTTATCAGTAACACAGCCTGCAGCAGGAAGGTGACAGCATGAACAATGGCAATGTCTTACACATAGAAATAAAGGTGTAACATAGCTGTACACTTGTTTGTCACATGCTTTTAGTCTCCTGTAAAGCTGTGGAAATGCAGGTGTGGGATCTATGCCTCCTACACAGCAACCCCAGAGCAGCCCAGGGTGTTTGTCTGACCACACTCCCACAGCACAAAACTTATTTTCAAATTATTCAGCAGACGTTTGGTGTTATTTCTTTTGTCTGAAAGAAACCACAATGAGGAGAGGAGAGGAGAGGAGAGGAGAGGAGAAGAGATAAGTCATTTGCCTCACACAAATTCTACACATTTAACTTCACTGGTGGGGCCTACATGTCCTAATAGAAAGGCTTGGGCCTGGCGTACGGCCAGCAGTCAAGGATAGAGAGGAAAGGAGAGGAGAGGAGAGGAGAATTTGAGGGTTGCTTTTGCAGTGAGAACAAATTGGCATTGAGCAGTAATGTGCTGGTTTAGGGGGGGATAGAGTTAATTTCTTCATAGGAGCTAGTATGGGGCTATGTTTTGGATTTGTGCTGAAAATAGTGTTGATAATACAGAGATGTTTTCGTTACTGCTGAGCAGTGCTTACACAAAGTCAAGGCCTTTTCTGTTCCTCACACCACCCCACCATTGAGTAGGTTGGGTGTGCTCAAAATTTGGGAGGAGACACAGCTGGGCAGCTGACCCCGACTGACCAAAGGGATATTCCATACCATACGATGTCATGCTCAGCATATAAAGCTGGGGGGAAGGTTGGCCAGGGTGGCTGCTGCTCAGGGACTGGCTGGGGATTGGGCAGCTGGGGGGGGGGAATTTGTTTCATTTGCATCATTTGTCTTTCTTGGGTTTTATTTCTCTCTCTTTGTTATTTTCCTTTTCATTACATCACCATCATCATCATTATTATTATTATCATCCTATCTTATTTCATCTCAATTATGTTCTTATCTCAACGCATGAGTTTTCTCGCTTTTACCCTTCCAATTCTCTTCCCTCATCCTGCTGGGGTAAGGAGTGAGCGAGTGGCTGTGTGGTGTTTAATTGCCGGCTGGGGTTAAACCGTGACAAGTAATTACAGTAAGACACAGAGCTTCTGTGCTAATGGTCCCTTAAATTAAATTCCCGTGTGACTTAATGTAGGGCTAGGCATGCAGTTGCTGTGCTTGACTGCTGCCCTCTCGTGACAGCATGACCAACCTCCAGGAAAGAAGACAAAGTTGTCGAGAAAAGCATCGAACAACACTCACTCAGAAAAGATGGAAGAAAGAGTCTTGTACCAAAGAAAAATGCAACATTTGCATCTTTTTCCACATTGGAAAAGCTATTAATTGCTTTTAAGAAGTCAGATATCCTGTCTTCTCTAAGACAATCTTCATTGACTCAATATGTCAGTCCCTAGAAGAATATTTGAGCAGACTTCCAAGGCACTGTCTCAATTACCTTCTGTGAAGATTTTCATCCTGGTATACATGTCCATATCTTTTATTATCAACGACAGAAAGGCTGAAAGAAAAGAGGATCCTGTGAATAACTGTAATCCTTTGTGGCAAATATGAGCTCTGCTCATCGGGACAAGTCTTCTAGCTTTAACTTCAAGATGGAGAGTCCTTGTCATTCAAGATTCTGTTTGCAGATAAAGAAATGCATCCCACGTAGCAGTTTACTATCAACTCTGTGTATGCTCACATAGCTTGCTACCAGTCTGTGTGCTCACAGGCCGTGCACACAGGGCATCGGTACTCTAGGAGGCTGCAAACAAGCAGCCATTTGATTACTCAGCAAAGAGTGCTTTTCCACATGCAAACCTTCAGTGTCTGTCTTGTTCAATATCCCACCTACATGTAAGAAAACACAAATTACCTTTTCAGGTAATGGAGGTCCTCCCATGGAGGAACCATTTTGCATCATCTCACTGGATAGTGGAGGCTTCAACCTTAATAATCTCTTCCAGAAGTCCTACGTTGTGTCAACAGGAATATGTTGACACACGTGTCCGCAGCCAAGGAGCACAAACATCATCCTCGAGTCAACTGCTTTCCCCCAGGACATCCTTTCTAGACCATCTAAGAGCGACGGCCATTGACAGTAACACTGCCAAAGAGGCTTGTCAACAGAGGCTGTTGGTTTGATTCCCCAGGAAAAGATATGTAGCATGTTTTATACTGAACACTTCTGAAAAGTGAAGAAGACAGAGTATTGATCAAACATCACTTTTAAGGTTTCTCAGAAGGACTTTTGAAAACTGTAGTTATGTAAAGCCATCCTATATTCTTATAGTGTGATAAATTATCCCCAGAATATTTCAAAGTTGTGTTTAAAATAAAAATAAGAATAAAAAATTAGGAAATGGGTAATTTGCTGTCTTTGAAAAGTATTTCTCTCCTTCCCCCCACTTGTAATTTGGATAACATTGCTCAGAGAGCCAAACCTGACTCTTCTCCCTAGAGAGACGTAGGAGGGTGGGCTGTAGCACTGACTCTCCTTGCGCCTGCTTCCA